TTAAGTTACGCTCAGACTGTACTGTAGCTTTAAATGATTAGAAAATAGATGTAAATTATTGTATTGTATTGTATTGTTTATAAAGGTTATTATCCTACAAGTTTACATGCAGAATACACGGAAGACAGCCATGTTGATGATTCTAACTATCTAACTGAACTTTGTAAGCAGTGGGAGGAGAGTGGACAGACAGCTGAGTCTACCAGACATGTGGTTATAAGAACAGGTAAAAAACATCATAAATAAAACTTTATTTGTTTCCATTTAGTTATTCTTAAACCTGACAGTAAATAAAGCTTTCAACAAGAATATTTTTGTTACTTTATGGGGGATTTATTAATTTTAAGCATATATGATATATTCTGTTTTTACAATCATATAGAAACCATTTGTATTATAGTACAACATACAAAGTGTATGCAACGCTGTCATAGTTTTACTATGTTCTATACTAATAGGTGTCGTTCTTGGTAAGCATGGAGGTGCTATGAAACAGATGATATGGCCTTTCTGGTTTGGCGTAGGTGGCAAAATTGGTTCCGGTAAACAATATTTCCCATGGATCCACATTGACGACATCGCCGGAGTGTTTGTGCATGCTGTTGAGTCCGGCAGTGTTGAAGGAATCCTTAATGGTGTAGCTCCGAATACAGTAACAAATCTGCAGTTCACACAAGCATTGGCATCGGCAATGTGGAGACCCGCTATCCTCCCAGTGCCAAGTTTCGTTGTTAATCTTATCTATGGCCGAGAGAGAGGGCAGATGCTCTTGGAGGGCCAAAAAGCTGTACCTAAAAGAACTCTGGAGAGTGGATATCAGTTCAAATATCCAGACATACAATCTGCACTTGAAGACATTTTGAAGTGATAACATTGATCCTGTAAGCATTTATTTAACTATATGTACCAGAGGATGAACACTGATCGGTTGACGTCATTAGGCAGTGAAAGTACAAACATTATGACCTTGCTTTTAAGTCGGCATATATGCATAATAGAACAGTTTCCTTTTTGGGTGCAGATGGCTTGTTGATTAACATGGTATACTGTGATACTAGAGTGAATCTTAACTTTCTGTTTCTTTCATTCAATCAGTGACTACTCTCAAATGTGCCAAAGGTGGAGTCTTTCGCATTAGTGCGAGGCAGTCATCATTTGTGTTGCAGCGCCCTCTTTAGTTTGGAAAAGCCAAAACACATCACTTACCATAGAGGGCATACTGCAGCTGAAGGACAATATTGTAAAAGGCAAGAGTTTAAGGTAGCGCGGGACTATTATTTGCATACTTGTTTTCATCTTTTAATTGGGACCAAATGACTACAAATAGACCCAGGAAAGTATATATTTTTATAATCCCAGACTTCAAGCTTTTCAAAGGTGTGTTTGTCATGCCCATATCTGCATTCTACGGTGCGTTACTTAATCAAAAGTGAAAAATTACATTTTTGGTAAAAAAAATAATTACGCATTTATGCTGGTGGTAAGAAGTTTTGTTTTCACTTTTCCTAGTTGTTCAATAGTCTGGTAAATTGAATGTGTCTGGTCAGTTTTATTCAAGTAACTAGTTTTGAAAAGTAGTGTCTTGAATTTTAATTTCTGTTTTAGTCGCATGACCCCAACTCAAACCACAACACATTGGTAAATAATCCATGAAATAGTTTGTCTGGACACATTTAAGTTCCTCTCATTGTCACCTTAAAGCTGTGAAAATTTGGTGTTAATCCGACGACAATAAGTATACATTATTTTTTGTTAAAGACCTTGTATTTTGAAAAACATAAACTCCTAGAAAACGTCGATGAAGTCACAGCAAAAATTTTCATGCTTGTTTATCTGCACAAGCGATTTATTTTCCTATCAAGGTCTGTTTTAACATGTGTAGGGGCATCCAAATGTGTAAGGCCATTGGAAACCAAAAAAATAAAGGAATGGGATAGCTATAGTTCGATAAAACGGCAGATGAAAACACTAAAATCAATGATTTTTGTCTGACACATTCATATGCAAATGACTAATCCATGAAATAAACAGGGGCGGAGACAAACCACTCAGACACTCATTGTGTGTCAGATAGCTACTGATAACACATCCTAACATTGCTTTAGTCTTGAGGTTTAATCTTTGAAACTTATAGGCACACAAATTAAACCTGTGTTGTTGATTTTAGAAAACACTACTGAAGCTGCCTTGCTTCCCTTCAGAAAATCTACATTTTAACCAACTTACATGACATTCTAGGTTACGTTGACTTTGTCAGATGAAAGTTTATAGTGCATTTCATCAATTAATAAATAAATGTGAAAATCATAATTTTCAACACAAATAATAGTCTCGCTACCTTAAGTTCTGATTACTATGAGCACATGTTTTCAGTGTTGAAGGGGTGTTTGGATGGGGCCACATTTGTTCTGCTTATATTTGCGATGTAAAAATTCATCCGCCTTTATATTAACAAAATCTATGCTATCATGGGTAGTCCATTTCAAAAGGTATCTATTTGATGTACAGAGGGATTGCATGAAATGTATCTTGGTATACAAGGGGAACAAACTAGCATTTTTTGCTGTCTGGTAATAACAATTTGGGACATTTAGTTTCAAGAAATACAAATGTACATTTCATTTGAGTATACTTTTATTACAGACCACTTTTTTTTTTAAATGTTGCACATTTTTTTTTTTTTTAACCTTGTATTCTACAAGGAAGTGACCATTGCTATGACTACAGGCAGTTTATGTCATTAGCCCAGTCTCAATAAGCACTGATATGGTTTGATTTAAATACACATTTTTTTTTTTCGTTAAAAGATTTATTTTTTTTAATTTAAATTGCTGGTCAAAATAATCTTACGCCAATTACTGTACATGCATCATTACCATGACAACACCAGACTACAGTGTGAAAATTACTATTCAAAGAAATCACACTCTTTTTTTCCCCAATCTACATAGCAGCTTGAAACTAAATTTTTTTTTGAAAAACAAGAACAAATAAACAGCTTTGTATTAATACTTGGGACCCAGAATGTGCCTTTTGTTCTTTAGGCAATTACTGTACCCATTGTAAACTAATACCCCATAAAACTAAATCATATAGTTTTCTGTACATAGTTAAACTTGATGTAATACACTTCGAGTAAAAGAAAATGAATTCATACATATATATATACAGCACTTTGCACACCTTCAAGATATTCAACTTAAATATATAAAAAAAAAAAATATCACTAAAGGGTATTTTACGAGTCAACAAATTCATTCAGGTCAGAATGGTACAAGAGAAAAAGTAGAAATTGTAATTTACAGTTGGTGTTCTTTTATTCACATGCAAGTCAACTTCGCTGCATGACCAAGGAAGAAGCAATCTTGTTTTGATTTTCAGGGAAAGGCACCTGCTTGTATCTCGCCACCTCAAAATTTATGGTCAAGGGTTCACAGTATGTAGCTAGCAGTGACAGAATAACCGGTTTGCATTCAAGGAATAAATCTCCCACCCTAACAGAATGATTGAGAATTTCTTATATAACTAATGACAATTTTTTTAACCAAAAAATAGGGTTGAGGTAAATACTATATACAGGCTTGAATGTGATTTTGGTGCATACATTTTTGTATGTCCAACCATACAACAAATAACTGCTTAAAGTTGCATCCCCACTTTTCCAGAGGCAGAAAATCTCTGAGAAATCATAAAATCAGTTGGTTTGGGCACTCAAAACTAGGCCCATTAACATGCATTTGAAAGGGATTTTCTTAACTTGATTTCTCATGAACTGTACAAAGTCTGAAACCTATATAATAATGCTTAAAAGAGTCCAAAGTGGCAGGCTTTCTACAAATCATACAAAGTGATAATGTATCTTTCAGAAGATCTTCGCATCAGACAAACTTTTTGAAAGGAATAAAATATTTCAAGGACAATACAGTGAAGACACCATGTAGCCACCGCTACAGTCATTAGTCTGCCTCTACCATGCTCCGCCAACAGTACTTCTCTAATAAAGGCGCATGTAAAGTACACCAAAAAGATGCTTGTTTTGGTTCTTCTGAGAGTGCACCAATCATTTTTGTAGACAGTCCATCATGCCAGTGGTGACTGCTTCATTGCTAGTGTCTAACACCCCCCCCCCCCCTAAATGGTTGCAGCATTTGTGAAGATTTCTGTATTCATTCTATAATCACCACATCACTCTAATGTCAGCGGATCAGGTTTTCTTTTTACCCCCCAAAACGAAAAGTATCATGGAGGAAAGCAGCATTATTTAAATCAAAACAAATAACCATTTATTTTCTGTTCTAGTAATATTTGCTAAAGTGTTTACTCTTTATTACTTAGTGAAGTAGTCATTACACACACTGGATGGAGTAACAATTGTATTGTTTGTAATCGAGTGGAAATACCTGACTATATTTCTTTCTATGTTCACTCATCATAGAAAGGGGTGGGGTGATCTTGGTGCAGGGAACAACAGATACATGCACCACATGGTTTCGTAAATTTGTTCAGGTGAAAATAGACAAGTTTACTTTTATTAGAGAGAAAAATCATGATTTTCATCAAGACGATGGGACAATTACAAGGAATTTAGAAAGTTGGCACTTCTAGAGCAGAAACCTACATGATCAAATATACCATAGTTGGCAGATAAGAGAATTAAACTACCAAACATACAATATAATGCGTTAATCGCCATACTTTCCTGTGCAGTTTAGCTAAAAAGCCATCTTAAAACATTTGTTTTCACCCTCAGATTCGAACCAATGTTAAATACAAATATAGACCCTCCCCAATCCCCTGACTGAAAGAATCCATTCAGCCGAATACACATCCATCCATTTTCTGATCTCACAAACTAGATGTTTAGTTGGCAATACTGTAACTGTACATTACATTCTTGATAGCCGATAGCTGTATTTACAAATGCACCTGTTGTAATACCAGTGATAACTGGTGGGTCAGTCATAACAAGCAATCACGAAAACTAACTCATTCCTTCGTCCTGTAAATCAAAAACGTCCTGCTACTGATATGTCGATGGTGGAAAGTTGTTGACCTCGCCTAGTTCGGAAATCTGCATACCATTAATGTTGTACATTATCTTAAGCCTCATTCTCAAGACTGCTTTCTGTGGATTTGAGACTTTGATCAGTTGTGTGACAGCAGCAGAGTTGTTTGGAGGCACTATGTTACTTGACGGCGAGTGCAACTGCAGATCAAAAGTCTGAAATGTTAACAGAGAACAGAAAATGAAAGCAAGCAACAAATTAAATACCAGTTTATGTTTTTTGAGATGATTTAAGTTTTCTTCAATTTCAATTCAGTATATGGTTACATTTATACACACACAAAAAAACAAGCCATGCATGGCACAGTCCCCATTAGTTATCAAATTTAAGATACATAGTTTTGTTTATAGTAATATGATTTTTTAACATTAAAATGGTTGACATTTGTATCTGATCGTCAAAAAAGTACTTGTCCATATTGAGAGATATTGCTCTGGAACAGCATTCAAAATCAGCCATTTTGAATACATGTATATATATAACATGATGTATAACGAATATATAAAAGTTGAATATAATCAGTCAAAGCATTTAAGAGATATGGCTCTTGAAGCCCAATCATTAAAACAAAATGGCCGCCAGCCAGTTTTGAATCCAATCTGAATCAAAGAAAGCTTAGAAAGAATTCCCGTGTGCGTAGAGTATTGAGAGTATTGAAGACACATTAAAAATTAATTCAAAATTACTTGTACATGAGATATTGATGGAAAAGCTGACAACTAATTATGTAAATCAGGTAAATAATATGAACAGAACAAAAAAATTATGAATTATTATGCTAATTAGAGAATTAATATGAACAAATTTTAACCGAAAATTAATCAGGCCTGTCTGTCTGCATTTATGTAGCAAATTGTATTCAAATGTGATGATCAGTAAGTGAGATAACAGTGTTAGTTAATTATGTTAATTAGGTGATTAATAAGCATAAATATTTACCAAAAACTAATTGGGTCTCTGCATAGTTCTAGATTCATTGTAATGTGATGAGTACTCTTTAAAAGTGTAATTAAAATCAAATTCGTGGTTCTTTATATCAGTGGAACATTCAGGGCACAAATTAATAATTAATAATTAATATCCATAATTATTACCCTGAAACTAATCAGGTCTCTGCATAGTCCTAGAAGATCCATGTAGCATGTCTCATTGAAATATGATGATTAGTACTTGAGATATCAGGCAAAAAGCTGAAAATTAACTAATTATGCTAATAAGGTAATCAATATGCAAAAATATTTACCCAAAAACTAATCAGGGGTCTGCACAGTCCTTAAGTAACTATGTACCAAGTGTCATTGAAATGTGATGTTTACTACTTGGAATATCAAAAGCTGAAAATTAATTAATTATGCAAATTAGGTAATTAATATGTACTAATATTACCCTGAAAACTATCAGATCTGTGCAGTGTCCTATGACATCTTTGTACCAAGTTTCACTGAAATGTGATGATTACTACTTGAAATATCAAAAGCTGAAAATTAATTAATTATGCAAATTAGGTAATTAATATGCACAAATATTTATTCAAAAACTAATCGGGGGTTTGCACAGTCCTTAAGTAACTATGTACCAAGTGTCATTGAAATGTGATGATTACTACTTGAAATATCAAAAACTGAAACTTAATTAATTATGCAAATTAGGTAATTAATATCTACTGATATTACCCTAGAAACTATCAGGTCTGTGCAGTGTCCTATGATATCTATGTACCAAGTTTCATTGAAATGTGATGATTACTACTTGAAATATCAAAAGCTGAAAATTAATTAATTATGCAAATTAGGTAATTAATATCTACTGATATTACCCTAAAAACTATCAGGTCTGTGCAGTGTCCTATGATATCTATGTACCAAGTTTCATTGAAATGTGATGATTACTACTTGAAATATCAAAAGCTGAAAATTAATTAATTATGCAAATTAGGTAATTAATATGTACTGATATTTTCCCCTGAAAACTAACAGGTCTGTGCAGTGTCCTATGACACCTATGTACCAGGACTCATTGAAATGTGATGATTACTACTTGAAATATCAAAAGCTGAAAATTAATTAATTATGCAAATTAGGTAATTAATATGCACAAATATTTACCCCAAAACTAATCAGGGGTTTGCACAGTCCTTAAGGAACTATGTACCAAGTGTCATTGAAATGTGATGATTACTACTTGAAATATCAAAAGCTGAAAATTAATTAATTATGCAAATTAGGTAATTAATATGTACTGATATTACACAAAAAACTATCAGGTTTGTGCAGTGTCCTATGACATCTATGCACCAAGTTTTATTGAAATGTGATGATTAGTGCTTGAGATATCTGTGTAAAAGCCGAAAATTGATTAATCATTATGCAAATTAGGTAATTAATATTGCACAGATTTTTACCCAAAACTAATCAAGTCTGCGTATTAGTTTGGAGCATCTATGTGCTAAGTTTCATCAAAATCCAATTAGTGGTTCTTTAGATATCAGTGGAACAGTCATGGAACAGCTAAAAATCAGCTAATTATCATGCAAATTAGGTAATTAATATGCATGGATTGTTACCAAAACCTAATCAAATCTGCGCATTGGCCCAGAGCATCTATGCACCAAGTTTCATCAAAAATCAATGTATGGTTCTTGAGATATCAGTGGAACAGATGGACACACATACATACACACACACACACACACACACACACACACACACACACACACAGACACACTCACAGACACACTCACAGACAAACTAACTGCAAAGACCCCCATTGTGTGCTTCGCACACGGGAGTCAAAAATAAAATGAAGTGCATCAGAAACCTGTAATGTCTAATGTATGTACCAAGTATAAACGAAATCCATCCATAAATGCCAGAAATGCTTGATATTTGATGATTTTTTAGCACAAAAATGACCACCATTCGGCCATTTTGAATAGGATCGTCAAACCAATATATCTGTCTATCTATGACATGATGTATAATGAATATTTAAAATTTGAACATAATCAGTGAAAGCAAGTCAGAGATATGGCATGAGAACCACATTCATTAAAACAAAATGGTCGCCAGTCGGCCATCTTTAATCTTATCTGAAAAACAAAATTATTTGCATCAAGATCCCATAATGTCTAATGTACATACCAAGTTTGAACAAAATCCATCTGCAAACAGCCGAGAAATGCTTGATTTTGATGATTTTTAGCACAAAAATGGCCGCCATTCGGCCATCTTGAATCAGATGGTAAAACAAAATGATGTGCATCAAGGTCCTATAATGTCTAAATTATATATCAAGTTTGAACAAAATCCATCCGTAAACAGCCGAGAAATGCTTGATTTTGATGATTTTTAGCACAAAAATGGCTGACATTCGGCCATCTTGAATCAGATCTAGAAAGAAATTGTCGTGCATATGTATAATATCATGTATGATGTATGTGTGAAGTTTGATTGTGATTGGTCCAGGCATTTTTAAGATACAGGTCCGGACGCACGCACACACGGAGGTCAAAACATAAGTTCGAACGGGGGACTAAAAAAGCTAAAATAAATCCTGTAATGATACTATGATTTTTTTGCCATCTAGAAAAAATTCATAGTACTAGTCTATAATCACCATGACACTAATAATGTATCGAGTAATATTACTGACTTTGCACTGAACAGAAGAAGTATCTATGCAATAAAAGCTCATCTCATTTCAGTTATTTTTATGGTGTACATAAAACTGTTATCTGTTTTGTAACTTGTTTATACACGGCATTCACAAAAGTGCCTGTTTTTCAAATAGTGAAAATATGTGTGGATGCAAAGTTGGAAAATTATTTTTTAGTAAGCAGGCTCTAAACACTGAAAAGTAAAACCGCTGTAAGTTGATTACATCTTGCCCATTATTTGCTAATGTTGATTTCATAAACTTTCTGTAATATTAGGTTATAATAATATTGTATTTTTGCTCTACTTTTCCCATGGTCAAAATAAGTGGTATTTTATTGATTCAGAATGAAGCAAATGCAGTGTATGGTTTATATGTGCTTATACTAGAGCAAATACAGAAAGATGCTGAATTGTTTTATTAACTGACATCGAGTTAGGAAAA